CTATGTATTAAAGCTGCAATAAGTACAGATAATTGGTTTTAATAGTTCATGCCAAATTCTAATTTTAAAATATTTCAGTTTTGAGGTAACATTGGTCTAAATACCTCACTTCTTTTTAATACCTTTTGGAAATTGAAATGGCAAGTTCTCCTAATTTTCAAACCCTGGTCTGCCCTGCCAATAAGTCCTTCTCTCTGCTTTCTTCTTAATGAAAGTCCAACAAGAAGAGTAATCCCTTAATAATGCTTATCTGGGAAATCAATTTCACATATGCAATAAAAAATACTGTAAACCTTAAAGGATTTAATTATTGATGCTATCCAATCCAACAAACATTTACAGGTAGAGGTGCATCATAGGTGGGTTAATACCTCAAGTTGGTTCCCAAAATAAATTGTTTGGTTTTCCAGATTAATTTATCTTTATTTTGTTATTTTTTTTCTTTTGATGAGAAACAATTTAGGGTTCCAGAGTACTGCCAAGCTTGGAAATATGTTTTTCAAACACAGCATTATTGACTGAGGCCACAACCTAAAAAAAAGTGGAACATTTACTCACTGTTGCATCTTTCAAGTCCATTGCAGAAAATATTCTAATAAATGTTTGACTGCGGTTGGGTTTTATGACATCACTACCCCACCTCTCAACCTCATCCAATCAGAGAACATTTTTCATTTAAAAAATGCAAAGCATTCTCTGAAAAGTGCCTGTGTCAAGCACTAAACTTCAGTGTTCAGAATGCAGCAGGGCAGCTGCTCTGTATGGGACCCTGAAGCAAGTGGAGTCCGCTGGAACAGTGGAGTCCGCTGGAATAGTGGTGTCTATTTTAGTGATTTCCAGCTTCCAAGGGCATTGGTCAGGTATGGTATATGTATAGTCACATTGGTCCAAGCAAAGCATTGCACAGGTCAGGTGAAATTCTTTTGCCAATCACAGCACAAGTGGGTGGAGCTAGTGATGACGTTGGTGGTGATGTCACCGCTAACTCCATCCAGTTGTTTAAATCTGACCTGGAAATGTCAGACCTGTCATATTGCAGCAAGTGTTCGACAGGTGCAGATGGGTTGGTGATGTTGTTTTTTTTTTCAACAAGTCGCCGGCATCGTCGTGACAATTCTGGATGTCATCATTGACGATGGATTACAACGATGGAACCATTTTTGGGGCTTTTTTTAATTAAAGGGCATGTCAAAAACCTGTTTTCTTTTTTTTTTCAATAAAAAAAAATATTTCAAGTCTCTTTATTTTTTCCTGAATTTACCCCTTTAGTGAATGGGTAGGGGTACAAGTATCCCTTACTTTTTCACAAGGAGGGGAACAGCATCAAGGGGCTCCCTTATTTAAAGGGGTACCCTGATGCTAATAAGCCCCCCTGCCCACAGACCCCCACAACCACCGGGCCAGGGTTGTGAGGAATAGACCCTTCTCGCCATCAGAATGGGGACCCCATCCCAATGCCGAGGAAACGTGGCCTGGTAAGTTGCAAGGGGGGGGGCTCGATCCCTCCTCCCCCTTTCCTGCCCTGCCAGGCCTGTGTTTGGTTCAAGGGTCTGGTAGGAATTCAGGGGGGACCCCCATGCTTTTCCCCCCATTTTCTGGGAGGTGGGGTTAATCTTAAAAGTCCTACCAGACCTAAAGGGCGTGATATGGCTTTTAGGGGGAACTTCATGCACTGTTTTTAATTTATTTTTTTTTACTATGGGGACCCTCCTAACCTTCCTACCAGACCTAAGTGGGCTGATATGGATTAGGGGGAGGGTGACCCCACACAATTTTTTTTTTGTCAGTCCTGCTGCAGCAGATTATATACATTGTACAGATGTGCAACTTTGCCCCTTTTAAAACTGTTGTTTTTTTTTAAATTTCACTGATTCATGTCCCTCAGGGTATATATTTTAAACTACCGTTAGTAAAAAAAAGCAGAATAGACAGCCCTGTGATTTATCTCTATCGACCTTGAGCTGCAAAGGCACCTGGCCAAGGAATGGATGAATCTGCCAGAGCAGTGAAGGGCCAGGAAACAGAAAACAGACCCAAGCTTATCTGAGATCTCTGTGGGGCATTTACTTTACAACTATTATGAAAAGGTGGGAAAGAACCACTTTCCCAAATTCTTTTGCACAAAGGTACACATGTGCTTTAGAATGTAAAATGTTAAAAATCGTAATAAATATGGCACAGTTTTAGTTAAAATGATATGGAACATGAAAAAGCATACATGGAACCACACATATAATGATACACCATCTACATGCCTTTGTTCCTGGTCTTCGATGGACAAATGCAGCGTGCTTTTGACATTCATTTTAGATGGTTCTGAGATCATTGAGAATTTGTTGCAGGTGCATTTGACCTGTAGCTGACTTGTGTCAAGTAGCTTTTGAATGCACTCAGAGTTTTATGGGCAGATAAGCATTTTAACCACTTGCCCTCCAGAGGATTGATGCTCCTTCCTGACCAGGCCATTTTTTGCTATACAGCGCTGCACAACTGACAATGGCATGTTCATGCAACCCCGCACCCAAATGAAATTTATGTCCTTTTTTCCCCACAAATAGAGCTTTCTTTCAGTGGTATTTGATCGCCTCTGAGGTTTTTATTTTTTGCACTATAAACAAAAAAAGACCGTCAATTTTGACAAAAAATTATAATTTTGACTTTTTGCTGTAAAACATATCCAGTAAAAAAATTTTAAAAATCAGATTTCATCATAAATTTAGGCCAAAATGTATGCTGCCACATGTCCCAATACATGTAAATAATTAGTTTATGTGAAAGTTATAGCGTCTACAAATGGCAGGTATATATACTAGAATAAAAAAAAAATGTATACTAGTAATGGCGGCGATCAGCGACTTATAGCGGGACTGCGATGAGTATTCTGACACTGGGGGGAACTGACTAACTGCCACTGACATCCCCAGTGACACTAGTACAATGATTAGTGCTAATAAATATAACTGACACTGTACTAATGACACTGGGCAGAAAGGGGTTAACATCTGGGACGATCAAAGGGTTAGGAAGGGGTTAACATCTGGGGCTATCAAAGGGTTAACTGTGTGCTGTTTTACTATGTATGCTGTGTGTGATTTACTGTGTAAGCATGCTGCTTTGTATTGCTCTGCTATGCAGAGCAAAACAAAGCATCATGCTGGAGCTGACAGGGGAGAGATCTGTATGTTTAGATACAGACCTGCCCCTGTTAGTGTTCTTCTGCGATCGCCGGGTGCCAGTGGGGAATCTCCGACTGGGACCTGGTGATTGACAGCCCTAGCCACCAATGGCAGCGTGGGAAGGGTGCATGCGTGGAAATACAAAATCACATATATATATATATATATATATATATATATATATATATATATATTTATATGTGATTTTGCACAGCCCTGCCACCCTGTAGCAGCATTTGTGCTATAGGGTGGCGGGGAAGTGGTTAAAGTGAACAAAAGCCAAGTGAACCAGGCCTAAAGGTAGCATAAGCACATATTAAATAACACCAAGAATATTACAAAAGACTATGTAAAGTAATACAGCATAAAGTAAAGGTCAAATCTGTCTACACGTGAAATATACTGCTAAAAAGGATATAGAAGTAATGAAAGCAAACATCATTATCGCACTGACAATCTACGCTTTCATAAAGAAGGAAGATAAAAGACAAATGTACCAATGGTCATAATACTATATTTAATCTGAAACACACACATTTGCACACACATGCACTTGCATGTAGTTGTGTAAAAAAAATAAAATTTTTGAAGTTCCCTTCAATATATAAGGCAGCCTTTTTCAACCAGGGTTGAGGGGTTTCTTTGGGGGTGCCTTGACAAAATTTCTAAAAATTACCCAAAATTTTTACAAGTCAGCAGGTGGGACAAGTCTGCCTTTTAGTTACACAAAGCCAAAGGTTTTCATTGTGCACCGTTACAACCTTCCAGCTGCCAGCATCCTAACAGCCAATGGCATCATCAGTTGATAAAGAGGATGTTGGTTGCCTGCACAACATCCTTGTTTGACCCTCCCCTGTCCCTCTCCATCAATGCTAGGGTCACATTAGCTGAGTGATGGAGAAAAACTGAGGGAGAAGAGAAACAATGGAATACTAGTCAGTACCAATGTGCAAAGGTGTAATTGCATTGGAAGAATGAATCACTTCTGTCCTATGTGTGTGAATGTTGCTACATTATACAAAACTATTAGAATAGTTTTTTACATTTTAGAATGGGGTGCCTCGAGACTGCCCATTTTTAAAGGGTGTCTCAAGGCTGTCCATAATTTTAGAGGGTGCCTTGACCGGAAAAAGGTTGAAGACTGATGTAAGGTATCACCTCCTTACCACCTGTCAAATTCCTTGGAAAAGAAATCCTTGCTGATACTGTAAATTAGTCCCTATAGCATTATTGTGCATTTTGCATGTGCTGCACAGAGGCATTCAAGACCCATCAGCTCCTCAAATGCCTCTGAGTTGTATTTATTATTTTTGTACAAGGCTAAAATGAGAAATTATCACTTTTGGCATTTTGCAAAAGCACCTTAAATGTGCTCTGTAAATGCCATATGGGGAAAGTATAATACACTTACCATTGGAAGAAGAGATGTTTCATGCCAAAAGTAAAGGGTCTTAAGATTGCTCTGTCTGATCACTGTTACATAGACAGGAAGCAGAAAAAAATTCCCTGACCTCCTGCTATGACTAGGAGAATGTAAGGAGAACTCTACCAAATGGAGAAACAGACAGCAATAAAAAGTTTAGAAAAGTAATAACCCTCTAAAACTAATGTGGAGCTGGGCTTTAAGCAAATCAGGTCAAGAAAAAATTTTTTCTGCTTGTCTGGTTTGGAACATCCAGCCCTTCTAACTATAAAAACTAGCTAAATTCTTTAACTCTTTTTGCATTAGTCATGTATACTTTGCATATTAATAATGATTTTCATTTTAGACAGCGGTGGTCAGTATACAGAAACGTCCAGATTTTGCAGTAACTGGACAGTGGGATGTCATTACAGAACATGAAGGAAAACAGCAGTCAGCCATCTTTGATGCTGTACTCATTTGCACTGGTCACCATGTTTGTTTATCCTAATCTTCCTCTACATTCATTCCCTGGTATGTAATCATTCTCAATTACCTTTAAAAATCTGATAGTAAAAAAAGTTTCCTGCTATGTGATCGCATCTGCAGATGAGCATCTCTTTGGAGCTTTGAGATTGGAGACTGTGCAAAGGTCACAGTGAACCAGCTACAGCGCCTTTATCTTGTCTGATACTGATATGAATACAAGTATTATTGATATGTATATATTTGATAGCAATGTTCTTTGCCCTGAAGTAATCTTGAAGAGCATTTGTAAGTGTAGAGCATAGAAAGCGATTGTTAGTAGTGAAATAAAATTATGGAAAATAGGCTATCCCCGCTTCAGTCGATCCTGAATACGGCTGCCAGACTCATTCACCTTTCCAACCGCTCCGTTTCTGCCACCCCCCTCTGGCAATTCTCCACTGGCTTCCGATTGCGCAACGGATCAAATTCAAAATCCTAACACTGACGTACAAAGCCGTCCACCATACTGCCCCGAACTACATTACTGACCTAATATCCAAGTACTGCCCAGCACGCACACTCCGCTCCTCACAAGACTTCCTTCTCTCTAGTTCCCTGGTCTCCTGCTCCCATGCCCGCCTCCAGGACTTCTCCAGAGTGTCACCCATCCTCTGGAACTCCCTGCCTCAACCCATCAGATTATCACCTACTCTTCTCTCCTTTAGGCGCATCCTGAAAACCCATCTCTTCAGGGAAGCCTACACCACCCCCTGCTAACCTGCCGACCTCCTCCACTCTTCCTACCAATCCATCCCCCACAGCTATCTCCTCCTGTGCCACCATCCCCTCCCTCATAGATTGTAAGCTCGAAAGAGCAGGGCCCTCAATCCGCTCATGTTTTGCATTGTATTGGTTTTGTTCTGTCACATGTTCTGTCCCCCTTTGTAATGTACAGCTCTGAGCGAACTATGGCGCTTTATAAATACTGTATAATAAAATAGAAAAACACAAGGAAATCTATGTCAACCAGACTTCACTTGTGAATGTTCTGAATTTATTATACTGAACTCTGGCTACTACGGGTTGCTGACAACTCTCTTTCCAACAGATTTGATGTTTGCAGTTCTGTATTGAATAACTTAGATAATATTCTTTGGAAAATATACAAAGACATAAGTAAGTCAGGCCACAGTCCATGCAATTTTTTTTTCCTGCAATCACGAGTTGCAGAAAATAAAGTCTCTTGAAGGGGGAAATCCCTTCCATTGGGGAGCCTTCCCTGCCTGGAGGACACAGTGATTATTGCTGGTTGCACCCAAGTCATACAACAATCAAACTGGGTACAACCAGCCTGCCCATAGATGGTTAGAATCTTGGCCGATCCCTAGTGAACTGGCTGAGATTCAACCATCTATAGCCAACTTTAGGATATGCATATTTCCAATTACTATAGAGTCACATTGAGTTGGATTAGCCAATAAAAAACAGATTTAAAGTGTATATTGATCAAATTTTAAAATCATATATTTGCTTCCACATTAAATTTTAATTATTTCTAGCCTGCTACCCTTGATATGAATGATCTTGAAGTTTAAAAATGTACTTTTTGAAGAATCCCACACATTTACTTTACTTACTTGAATGAAGTAACACATATTCACTATGTCCTGTGAATATGCACTGCTGTGTCATGCATTTCACAGAGCCTGCCGGCCAAAATAAAGAGGTGCTGAAAGGAGGAGTTTTAGAAGGCACAATCAATACGGGAAACACATCACATCATTGCTACTTGCAGGCAGCAAGATACCAAGGGATATGTATTTCTTAGAAATTGTAAGTAAACAGCAGAGGAGAGGCTGCAAAGCATGCAAGGAATCCAGGAAATTGTTGATGGAGATTGTCAGTAGATAGGCAGCACTCCCAACACATTTTTCAAGTAATCTTATATAACAGTGGTCTCCAAACTGCGGCCCAGGGACCAGATGTGGCCCACTGCTTTAGTTTATCTGGCCCTTGGGGCATGATTCCCTCCTTTGTCAACAACAGGGCATAGTTCCTGCCACTGACACCAACAATGTGGTACTATTCTTCCCACTGACAGCAATGATGGGGAACTATTCCTCATCCTAATACAAAAGATGGGGCATTGATAACTGCACAGACGTCAGAATATTTTCTACTCCCACTGGCCACAGGCCGCCCCACCTATCGTTTGAAGGACAGTAAAGTGGCCCTTTGTTTAGAAAGTTTGGAGTCTCCTGTTACAGTTGCAAGAAAAAGTATGTGAACCCCTTGGAATTACGTGGAGTTTTGCATGAATTGGCATAAAATGTGCTTTGAACGTCATCTAAGTCACAACAATAGAAGAACACAGTCTGCCGAACATAATACTACACAAACATTAGATGTTGCCATGGTTTAATTGCACATAACATGTAAACATTCACAGCGCAGGGAGGAAAAAGTATGTGAGGCCCTAGCTTAATGTCTTCTCCCAGAGCTAATTGAAGCCAGGAGTGAGCCAACCTTGACTCCAATCAGTGTGATGATATTGGATGTGTTGCTGACAGCTGTGACCTGCCCTTAAAAAACACACACCTGTTTTGGGTTTACTGGTTTCAAGAAGCACTGTCTGATGTGAACCATGTCTCGCAGAAAAGAGCTCTCAGAAGACCTACGATCAAGAATTGTTGACTTGCATGAAGCTGGAAAGGGTTACAAAAGTATCTCCAAAAGCCTTGATGTTCATGTTTCCACGGTAAAACAGACTGTCTACAAATGGAGAAAGTTTAGCACTGTTGCTACTCTCCCTAGGCGTGGTCGTCCTGTAAAAATGACTGCAAGAGCACAGCGCAGAATGCTGTATGAGGTAAAGAAGAATCCCAGAGTGTCAGCTAAAGACCTACAGAAATCTCTGGCAAATGCTAACATTTTTTTTGACACATCCACAATAAGGAAAACATTAAACAGAATGGGGTACATGGGAGGACACCACGGAGGAAGCCATTGCTGTCCAAAAAGAATATTGCACCACGTTTGAAGTTTGCAAAAGAGCACCTGGATGTTCCACAGCACTACTGGCAAAATATACTGTGGGCAGATAAAAACGAGATTGAGTTGTTTGGGAAGAACACACAACACTATGTGTGGAGAAAAAAAGGCACAGCACACCAATATCAAAACCTCATCCCCACTGTAAAACATGGAGGAGGGAGCATCATGGTTTGGGGCTGCTTTGCTGCCTCAGGGCCTGGACGGATTGTTGTCATTGATGGGAAAATGAATTCCAGAGTTTATCAAGACATTTTGCAGGAAAACGTACGACCATCTCTCCGCCAACTGAAGCTCCGCAGAGAATGGGTGATGCAACAGGACAATGACCCAAAGCATACAAGTAATTCAACAAAACAATGGCTGCAACAGCACAGAATACGCCTTCTGGAGCGGCCCAGTCAGAGTCCTGACCTCAACCCAATTGAAATGCTGTGGCATGGCCTTAAGAGAGCGATTCACACCAGACATCCCAAGAATATTGCTACACTGAAACAGTTTTGTGAAGAGGAGTGGTCCAAAAAGGTCTGATCTGCAATTACAGGAAATGTTTGGTTGAGGTTATTGCTGCCAAAGGAGGGTCAACCAGTTATTAAGTCCAAAGGTTCACATACTTTTTCCTCCCTGCACTGTGAATGTTTACATGTTATGTGCAATTAAACCATGGCAACATCTAATGTTTGTGTAGTATTATGTTCAGCAGACTGTGTTCTTCTATTGTTGTGACTTAGATGACGGTCAGAGCACATTTTATGCCCAATTCATGCAAAACTCCACGTAATCCCAAGGGGTTCACATACTTTTTCTTGCAACTGTATATAGGATAGTCAAAAATAAATATTGTTTGTATTGCTATTACAATAGAGATGATATAAAATGCCTTTGGATGTGCATGATTTTATGTGATATTTATTGTGCTTGTTTCTAGGTATTGAGAAATTTAAAGGCCAGTATATGCACAACAGAGATTATAAGCATCCTGCACAATATGCTGGGAAGCGTATGCTAGTAGTTGGTTTGGGCAATTCAGGAGCAGACATTGCTGTTGAATTAGCACGGACAGCTGAAAAGGTATGGATGTTGCTGCTTTTGCCTAAAGGGGGGGTCATGATGCTCTGTACTTACTGTATGTCCTCAGTTGTTGAATGTCATTCAGTCCAGAAGATGGATCACTAAGTACTACAAGGGACAGAGCTAGGGAGGAGGTGAGTAGCAGCCAGAGCTGTTTTTTATATCTCCTGGGGCTTCTTTAAAAATGTATTTGCAGAGAGTTGGGTTTTCAGAATAAGAAATCATTTCAGAACAGTGGAAAGTGATTTTCAAGACACGGGATAATTTACTAAAACTGGAGAGTGCAAAATCTGGTACAGGTGTACATGGCAGCCAATCAGCTTCTAACTTCAAGGATAAGTTCACCTTTTTGACCAAAAATAATAAATGCACACTTTTGCAGGTAAAAAAAAGTGCATTTATTATTTTTGGTTGCAGGAGCCTGTAAAGCATTGCACCAACGATCAGCAGATTACTGGTGCCATTCAGGTCACCTGAAAACCTGTCAGCATATCTGCTTGCCCATATGGGATGTACAAGCAAGCAGATATTGTATACTGACAGGAAGAATCAATGAACTACAAGCCGGCAGCCACTAAGGTTGTTGGGACTTGTAGATGACTCATTCACAGAACACTGTGAATGAATGATGCTGCCATGTGGGCGGAACCCTGCACAACTGTGCTGTTTTTCAAAAGCGACAGCCGGGGCGGACTGACCATTTGGAAACTCGGGCACTGTCTGAGGGTCCGGGGTCAGTAGGGGGCCCCATGAGATGCCCCTGGTACCTTTTTCATAGGCTTTTTTGAGTTTGGGCAAGGACACAGGGGCCTCATGATCCCCTATTGCCCGGGGGCCCCATGAGTTGTCAGTCCGCCCCTGGCGACAGCTAATATGGGGAACTTCTACCCATACTTCTGTCATGGGGGCTGTGGAATGGGCAGCAGCTGCAGGGTTGGGAGCATATTACATGTTACATGTTCCAGCCTAAAAACAGGTGAAACGTGTAACATGTTCCAAAAGGTGAATTTATCCTTTCAGCTTGTTCAGTTAAGCTTTCACGAAAAAAATAGAAGCTGATTGGTTTCTTTGCAGAGCTGCACCAGATTTTGCACTCTCCAGTTTTAGTAAATAAACCTCCCCAGGCTAAAACCGTAGGATAGGAGGAAATTCATTAAAGGCTTTGTGACACAATTCTGGCATTATGGCTGTATATGAAACTCTTACAGAAACTTCATGTCAGGGCAGGGTTGTGGAACGGACAGGTAGGCCTAGTGGCAGGGTAACGCACTGGCTGACGACAACCACCACCAACAGACCAAAGTCCCTCAGGGCGCAGAGTCTAAGTCCCAGGCTGCCCTTCACCAGTGCCCCTGATGGTGGGGATGGACTTGACGCAGCCAGGAACCAGGTCGTGGCCCCCGAGACACCCTGGCTGCGGTAATGGCTGCCGCCAATGGCGTGTAGCTGGTGAGAATGACAATAGCGTAGTCTGGCAAGCCGGGTCGACAACAACGGGACAAAACGGTACAGAACAGTAGACAGAGAATAACAGGTCACGGGCCGGGTTCAGCAACGGAAGGTCAGATCAAAGGAAACACAGAGAATGGCCTTAGTCACAAGCCGAGTCAAATACCAGAAGAGTCACGAGTGTATACACAGAGCTGTAGCAAGACAAAGACACAAGACACAAGTGCAAAGAGCATGTGCAGATCACAGGCTTATATGTACTCAGCCACACCCCTCTGGGGGATGGACCTCAGAGACCTGAAGGCATAAAAGATTCCCACCATGCTCAGCAGAAATCCAAGATGGATGCCAGCACATGGAGTAGCATAACCTCTGGGAAAAGGTAGGACCTTGACACTTTATAACAGTTGTGCAATGTTCAATAGTTAAAGCATATGTGAATTCTCACCTTGCAAAACAACTCATTTACCGGTAGTTTAAAATAGAAATGAAAAGCAAAACATTTGTGTATAGATATAAAAACTTTATAAATACCTTTTTTCCTCCTTTTTTATAAGTGATCACATACCCTCTGTTCTCAGCTACATAAGGAGCTTAGAAAGCTGGAGAGGAGAAACAGCAGTGCACTTGTCTTCCCTGTGAATGGATGTAGGGGGTGTGTCAGGACAGGTCTAATAATTGGAGGAGAGCAGGCTGAGTTCTCAGCACAACTAGAAAACTGACCAAAAACTGTTCTCTCATGCCTAGTGTGGTCAGTTTTTGATGGCAGGAACACCAGTTATTTCACACAAAAGAAGCAATACAATGAGAACATGAACCTTTTTCATGCAACTACATGGTACAGCAGGCACATATCAGAAATATGAAATGTTATGTTGACATATTCTTTAATTCTGACATGTGCAACGTTCAAGTTTTTATTTGCAACATTTTTCCAATATGATGCTATGGCTGGGTCAAATGTATTAGGAAATTCAGTCAAAATCCAAAAAAATTTAAGGTAAATAAGACCGATATCATGTTGGGGTAATATGTACCGATTCTGGAACATCTTTGAGACACATTCATGTACATTTTTCCAACATGTACAGAAGTCTTTCAGACGCACCAACTTAAAGCAAGAGATACACTTCCAAAGAGCGTCAGCACCAGTCTTTATGAATAGATTTCATTGACATAGATCCCCTTCATGGGGTCTGTATGTGTGTGTACTTTTACAGTGTCTTGTTTTTATTGTTGTATTCTTCTTAGCTTTTTCTGACTGCTATATTTCAGCCAAAAGTCTTGTTTTTTTCCTGTAGCATGTCCTTCATTTTCCGAGAACAGCCTGCTGTGATGACGTCTATGATGTGGTTTCTAGAATTGACTCTTGGAACCAACACAATTCAGAAATTACAAACAGCCATTTTAGATTATTCTATTGAATGCAGAATGCCAATAGTCAGCCAATGCCGACATGGGTTGGGATGGGATCACAGATGTGAGGCAATTAGAGCCTGCTGTTTGTACATTTAGGTTGCCAGTGTGCAGCTTATCTGGCATGCAGTGTGAGAATCTGAGGACTTTGCTTGGGACAGTACAGAGGGCCAAAGCTCTAAATCAGGGTTAAATGAGGTGAGCAGAATGACAACATAAATGATGCGTATCTGCAAAGAATAGCATATCAGCAATAGATTCTCCTGGGATAACAGCCATTATTTTTGTTCAGGAACACAAGCAGAAGAAACATCTTGTTCATTTTATGCAATAGCACTTAGTCATAAGGGTACTACAAAAGGTGTGCAATATGTCTTAAGGCTTTACTTCCACTGTAATGTGTTGATTTCAGTACAGTCTCCTGGTATTCTATGGGACTGTAGGCAGTATGCTTTAACTCTTTAACCACTCGTCTTCCAGATAATTTACCCCCCTTCCTGACCAGGCCATTTTTTGCGATACGGCGCTGCGTTCGCACGTCACTGAGCAAAGTCGCAAAATCGTTTTCATTGTCTGATGACAAATTTCCCCACGAATCATTATCACGCAATTCTGCAAGTGGTTCTAATTTACTATCGCTGTTCTCTAGCTGGTCTAAAACCTCTTTTGACCTAAAGGGAGGCTTTTTTGGACGCCATGGACGTTTCTCAGTTTCCAGGCAGAAAGAATAGTAAAAATGCAGGCAGGGTGCAGGACAAAGCACTCGGGACAAAATGTATGTGAAATGGTTTGATACAGTAATGTTTTTACTATGTGATTTTAGTGTATTTAGTGAATGTCACTTTTTGTCATTTTCAAATTTCCCGCTGGTCTGTCCCCCGTACGTCTCGACGTCGCAGGGAACAGAACCCAGAAGACAGATGCCGGCATCCGCCGGAGGACATTGCCGGGGACACTGCAGGAGGGACATCGCGGGAGCACAGGACAAAGAAAGTGATCGAGGGATCCCGGAGCAGCGCCGCATGGTAAGCCCGAGTGTAGCTCAGGGTTACCACTTGTGGTACTGAAACTTTACCCCGAGCTACACTCGGGAAAACCGCCAGGGGGGTTAACTGACCATTGCGCAGTCATGCAACTCTGCACCCAAGTGGGGAACTGACTTGGTGTCACTGAGACATCCCCAGTGACACCAATACAGTTGATCAGTTGCTAATAAAAAAAAAAGCACTGACGCTGTACTAATGGCACTGGGCAGGAAGGGGTTTAACATGTGGGGAGTGATTAACTGTAAGCTGTTTTACTATGTGGGCTGTGTGTGCTTTACACTGCAAGCACACTGCTTTGTATGCAGAGCCATACTAAGCAATGTGCAGGAGATGACAGGGGAGAGATCTCTATTGTTTACATACAGGACTCTCCCCCATCGGTAATAACTCAGAGATCGCCAGGTGCTGCATGAAATCACGGCCGGGACCCGGTGATTGACAGCCGACAACCCTGAAACTGCAAAATCACGGATATATACGTGATTTCCGCTCACCCGTGCCTTCCCCTGAAACAGTATTTTCCTACTGCAATAGGGCAGTGCAAAAGCAGTTAATCAATAAAACACATACAACTTTTATTTTTTGGTAATAACTTGGACGCAGCTGTTTTATTATTGGTATAAATATAAGTATATAGTAAATAATATATTAACTCTTTTATTTGTACATGTTAAATCACATATTAAAATTTCAAAATATTTTAAAAAAAATTCTTAAAGTTACTACACAACCCCAGCTTAAGTCACTATGACTACGACTCAAGCTGTACATATTAACCAACAACAGCTTTTAACCAATACCTATCTATTGATTCCAATTTCACTTCAATTTAATAGACTCACTGACTCGTCCTCCTTTAAAATTAAGGTGACCTTTCCAATCATAATTGGCCGCAACAACAAAAGGGGCGGGTGGGAGGGGGAGCACTCCCCTATTATTGGAACCGCCCCCCCCCCTTTTATATCCCTCTCATCTCTCCTAGTCTTCTTTTGATTGACTAATTTGCCATTCCAGGTCTTCCTCACATGCCCCAGTGCACTAGGGATGTTTAAAACTCCCATTTTCTAGAAACTTCCCCATTATAGTAATAGCTAATTATTTTTCGGGGGCTTGAAACTTTTTTAATGCGTTTTCTTTCAACTTCATACCATAAGAGGGGAACTAAAAACATGCTGATCTTCTGGAAGTTTACTTCATTGTACATATACATTGGGTAGACTTGAAATGTTTTCCGCTGCCCAGTTTTCCCATAAGAAAAGGGGGCCCTATATTGAAATCCCCATTTCTTTTCCTATTCTGTTTGTATTTCTGCACATATTCCACATACAGCTCAGTGACGTTTGGAAAGCCATTGAGCAGGAGGCCAGTGTGATTGTTGGCCAGTCCCATAGCAACAGCCTTGTATTATTTCACTTACATTCATGGAAGACTGTGTGATCATAAAAATGTAAGAAGAAACATTGCTACGCTTTTGCTGGAAAACATGTAGGAATGAAAATTAATATAACTTTCACAGAGAGAAAGAACAAAGTTACAGATATGATACAGTTATCTATGACTCTAAATGGTTGAAAGAGATTTCACATGATTAGCATAGCAAATAAAATACTCTGTTATGTTGAATATAGTCTTGTAACATGTATAAATGTTTCCATTTTAATAAAGCTGAAAATTAAAACTGGAAGAGTCCATTATTTGTCTATTCACAATGGTTACATTTATTGAAACTGAAGTGTTTATGTAAATGATATGGCAAAGCAAGAGGAGTAATCTGTAGGGTGGAGTGATACTGACATCAAAACCCAAACACATTACAACTACATAAAGTGGAACTGGCACTGCGATCTGAGCCATCACAAAGCCAAAAATGATCTATTATTTTCATAGTACAATATTCACAAGCAAACTAACCCATCAACTCAATGTCACTCCATGCTTTATATTCCCTGAGAAATCCGTTTTGAAAAAAACACCCCCTGACATTTCCTCCTGGCAGTGGCCATCTTGGAGTAAGGGTCAGATGACTACTTCCGTGGAATCTTCTTCCTGCCCTTAAGCTCAGTCCACAAGGGCTGGAGCCTTAAGAACCGCTCTGCGTCCCCTCGCTAGAAGACTGCTCGGGATGTAAACATTGTGCCTAGGCATAGGGAAACCCTGGAAGTAACTGAAGAAAAGTAAAAAAAAAAGTTTAAAACAAGTAAAGATGATATACATTCCCTATCCATGTTACCAAATGCTAATGTAGTGTTTGAAGTGAAATAGAGATAACATTTCCCACTTTATGTACCAGCCTGAAATGTCCCTGGATTATACCATGCCGACTTATTCAGTTTTATCAGCACTGTGATCAGTGCTTGAACGCAACAATTAAATGAATTAACAATTCAATGAAAAGGTTAGAGTCAATTCTGCTGCTATACCTCGCCCTTCCCTTCTGCCTCCCATGACTGAAAGAGTAGTACTTACAGCCTCCAGTCAAACAGCAGCCAGACCTTGTAACCAAAATGCAAGTAAACATGGTGCCTCATAGGGGTCTGTGATAGCTTTCAAAACCAGTCAGAATATATCAGTATATTATAGCTATTACCGTGACCTATCAATTTGGTCTCAGTGACCTCTTTTCTCAGATGTAATCATGATATGCTCTCTTAAACTTGTGTATACAGCCGAACAAATAATTACTGTCAAGTCAATTTTATGTCATGCAATAAATTGATAAATTGTGCAAACAAGTTAATATTCTTATGGTAAAACCACATACGCGAAGTTTTACTTCTACTGCCAAAGTTGGTTACATACTATTTCTCCTGTATCCCTTGGGTAATGTCTACAATTCAGAAAGTGCACTTATCCTGTTTTCCTTCTTTAAAGCTGACTATAACAGCACCAAGATCCAACTGTATGTTATCCTCAATCCAATGCCTGCAAGCCTCCAGGGAATGTTTACATCTCACTCTTCGAAGTCTACCTGTGTTTCCTGCTGTGTCCTGCAACAGTAGAGCCTCATAGAAGTCTATGTCGCCTGGACTACCACTCTTTCCTCTGGTCAGGGAGACACAGGGAAATGATCCCCTAGACGTTTCATGGGGGTAGCCCTAAGTGATAGGTTAACTATGAAGACCAAGTCAAGAATACCCTGTCAAGGAGGAGGAGGTGGGCAAATGTGGATTTATTTTGGAGGGTCACTGTCCACAACTGGCAAAACATATCAATGTTGTATGGTCAGGATGATCACAGAAACGATCTAAATGTCTGTCCCACCCACAAATAGAGGGGGATTTAAAGAAGGTCTGTGACTATCAAACAGCTACCGGACCACTATTGAAAGCTAATCTCACTCTGGTAAGTGCGACAGATTGGCCAATCTTGAGACATTCCCAGCCGGGAGAAGAGTTTGATGAGCCGATGCCCATTCTTCTCCCAGCATCCTGCACTTGGCTTAGAAGTGTCAATAATGTAGAAAATACATTGTTGCCCACATGGCAATATACATGGATCTAACACAACAAAACAAGATGAAGAAACGAGTTTTTTAGAAGTAGAAGAAAATGAACACTACCCAGATGTTCTGTAGCATAAAGTGCATTGAATAGTATAGTTCAACAATTCCATAATTGAACCTCATCATTATTTGATAGACTTTCAAAATGTCACATATCCACCGAAGCTTATGTTTCTATAACCCACGAGTAGAATGGGTCCAGAGACAAAATAAATGGATATGTCACAATGTTTATTTTCAGGTGGTCCTCAGCTCAAGAAGTGGGTCCTGGATTATGAGCGTGAATGTGGATTCATGGCTACCCCTGGACATGGTCTATTTGACACGCTACCGAGTTTATCTGAACAGAATATTTACCCAGAGCCCATTTCCTGATGGCTATATGACACAATGATGGAGCAACGATTCACCATATCCATTATGGCTTGATGTACTGTGGCCACGTATGTTTCAATTTTATGTGGTGCTAGTTCAATGGAATTATTACATAGGAATAAATATTTGTTATCCTGATATAGACCTTGTTACTTTCCAGTGGAGTACAAAGTAGTATATATTGGAATTAAATCAGGGCAGTAAAGGATGCCCCCAAATCAAGTGCAATACAGTATGTCCCTCCATAAAAAGTGGCTTATTTAGTAAAAAGGCTTCGCTTTATGGACGTGCTTGTAGCTGTCATTTTTTTGAAGAAATCTAATTTGAAAAAAATAAAAATCCCCTAAACCCTAAATTTTTCACTAGAAAAAAACAGGCCCAAAGAGTGATGTGTGGCCACTGAGGAAACCCAAATGCCAAATAAATAAGTTCCAGTTGTTTCCTACTCTTGTTTCTAGGAGAGCGAATCGAATTTGGCGAAGGGAATTTTTTCGAATTGGGAAAATTTTTCGCGCCGAATCCGAAAATTGCAATTCGGATGCGCGATCGAAATTTTTTCCAAAAAAAGGCGGCGACATGTGGGGGGAGGAGCGGGGATTCTGGGAAAGGGGGCAGACAAGGCGCGCAAACCCCCAAATGCATTCATTCATGACAGTGCGCATTAGCCATCAGCAGCCCCCCAGCCAGCACTGTGTAATGGGGAGCTAAAATTTTTGGGGCCCATTTAAAATTTCTCATTTGCCCCGGTCATTAAACAGAGACAGCCCTATTGTAAAAAAGGGAAACCCAAATTAGGGCCACAGATCTTTAGGGACACAAAATCGTTACTTAGGGCAAAGAATTTTTTACTCCCGGGGCAGACACGAATTGTTACTCGGGCAGACACGAATTTTTACTGAGGGACAGAATTTTTACTGAGGGACAGACAAAATTTTTCTGGGGGGACAAGTTTTGTACTGGGGGGTTCATAGAATTGTTATGAGGGGCACAGAATTTTTACTAAAGGGAACAAAAATTGTTATCAGGGGACAGACACAGAATTGTATCAGGGACAGACCCCAAAAATTTGTTACTCGGGGGACAGACAAGAATTGTTACTCGGGACGACACAGAATTTGTTCGGGGAACACGAAGTTACTGAGGGCACAAAATTGTTTCGAGGGACCAGAAGTTACTCGGGACACAAAAACTGTTATCAGGGACACAAAAATGTTACTGGGGGACACAGAATTTTTAAATCGGGGACCCCAAAAAATTTTTCTGAGGGAACAAAATTTGTTACTGGGGACACGAATTTTTTTGGGGACCAGAATTGTTACTCAGGGACAGACACAAAATTGTTACGGGGGCACAAAAATTTTTTCTGGGGACAAAAAAAAAAAAAATCGTTATGGGGGACACAGAATTGTTACTGGGGACACAAAAATTGTTACCGGGACACGAATTGTTCTGAGGGACACAGAATTGTTACTAGGGACAGACCGAATTGTTATCGGGGACAACACAAAATTGTTACTGAGGGACACAGAATTGTTTGAGGGACAAGAATTTTTACTGGGGACAGACCGATTTTTTATGGGAACAAAAATTGTTACTCGGGGGGACCCGAATTGTTACTGGGGAAAACACAAAAATTTGTTACTGAGGGGACCAGAATTGTTCCCAGGGACGACACAGAATTGTTCCAGGGACAGAACGATTTTTCTCGGGACAGCACAGAATTGTTACTCAGGGCGACACAGAATTGTTACTGGGGGAACAGATTTTTTTTTTACTGGGGACCGAATTGTTACTCGGGCCCCAAAGAATGTTACTCGGGGAAACCCAGAATTGTTATCAGGGACACAGAATTGTTCTCAGGGACAGACACGAATTGTTATGAGGGAAACAGAATTGTTACTGAGGGCCAGAATTTTACTGGGGACACAGAATTTTATCAGGGACAGACCAGTTGTTACTGAGGGACAAGAATTTTTATGGGACACGAATTTTTAAACCGGGACACAGAATTGTTATAGGGACCAGAACTTTTTCCAGGGAACGAAATTTTTACTCGGGAACAGAATTGTTACTCAGGGACGAACAGAATTGTTAAAGAGGGACACGAATTGTTCTGGGGACACGAAATTTTTTACTGAGGGCACAGAATTGTTACTCGGGGCGACACAAATTTTTACTGGGGGACACAAAATTTTTACTGGGGAACACAAAATCTTACTCGGGACACAGAATTGTTTCAGGGAACAGAATTGTTACTCAGGGAACAGTATTGTTACTGAGGGACAAAAAAAGTTACTAGGGCACGATTTGTTACTGGGGACACGAATTTGTTACTCAGGGAACAGAATTGTTACTGGGGCACAGAATTTTTTACGAGGGACACGGAATTTGTTTTCAGGGACAGCACAGAATTGTTCCCGGGGGACGACACATTTTTTTTTTACTCAGGGGCGCACAGAATTGTTATCAGGGACAGACACAAAATTTTTTTTTCTGAGGGACCAGAATTGCTGAGCGCACAGAATGTTATGAGGGACCAGAATTTTACTCGGGGACACGAAATTTTAAATCAGGGCACAGAACTGTTCTCTGGGAACAAAATTTGTTATCAGGAAAGGACCAGAATTTTTAAACGAGGGACACAAATGTTACTGAGGGACCAGAATTTTTATGGGGACGACACGAATTGTTACTCGGGACAGACACAGAAATTTTTACTCAGGGGACACCAAATTGAAAGAGGGAAACGGAATGTTACTCAGGGACACAAAATTGTTACTGAGGGACCAGAATTTTTAACAGGGACACAGAATTGTTACTGAGGGACACAGACTTTTTACTGAGGGACAGAATTTTTTACCGGGGACAAAAAAGAATTGTTACTCGGCGACAAGAATTTTTACTCAGGGACAGAAAAGAATTTTTACTGGGGACACGATTGTTACTCAAACGACACAGAATTTGTTATGGGGGACGACACGATTTTTATGAGGGAAACAAATTTGTTACGAGGGCAAAGTTTTGTTACTCAGGGACACAAAATTGTTCTGGGGGGACACAGAATTATTACTGAGGGACACAAAATTGTTACGAGGGCACGAATTGTTACTCGGGAACAGAATTGTTCTCAGGGAAACCAAAACTGTTATCGGGACCAGAATTGTTACTGGGGACAGCACAAAATTGTTACTGAGGGACACAGAATTGTTATGGGGCACAGAATTTTTAGGGACAGAAACAAAATTTGTTACTGGGGGAACCAGAATTGTACTGAGGGACACAGAAATTGTTACTGGGGGACACAGAATTTTTTCTCAGGGACGGACCAGAATTGTTATGAGGACACAAAAATTGTTACTGAGGGACACGAATCGTTACTCAGGGACAAGAATTTTTTCTGGGACACAGAATTGTTATCGGGCACAGAATTGTTTTTCAGGGTCACAAAAATTGTACTGAGGGACACAGAATTTTTTTGAGGGAAAACAAATTTTTACTCAGGGACAGACACAGAATTGTTATCAGGACAGAACCCGAAAGTTACCAGGGACGACCCGAATTTTTATGGGGGCCAGAATTGTTACTGGGGGACACAGAATTGTTACTCAGGGAGAGAAAACAGAATTGTTACTCAGGGACAGACACAGAATTGTTACTCAGGGACAGACACAAAATTGTTCTGGGGACACGAATTTTTAAACTGGGGGGGGCCCGAATTGTTTTCAGGGAACGAATTGTTATGAGGGACACAAATTGTTACTGAGGGAACAGAATTTTTACTCAGGGACACAGAATGTTACTCGGGCACGAACTGTTACTGGGGACACAGAATTGTTACTAGGGACAACACAAAATTGTTATGGGGACAAAAATTGTTACGTGGGACACAAATTGTTACTGAGGGGACCGAATTGTTCTCGGGACAGACACAAAAATTGTTACTGAGGCCCAAAAAATTTTATGAGGGACACGAACTTTAAAACAGGGCACAGAATTTTTTTACGGGGGACACAGAATTGTTACTCGGGACAGAAACAGAATTGTTACTCAGGGACACAGAATGTTACTGGGGACAAATTGTTATGGGGACCCAGAATTGTTTTGGGACACAGAATTGTTACTCAGGGACAGACACAGAATTGTTCTCAGGGCGACCAGAATTGTTTGAGGGCCCAAGAATTGTTACGAGGGACACAAAATTTGTTATGAGGGACACAGAATTTTTACCAGGGAAGACACAGAATTGTTACTGGGACAACACAGAATTGTTACTAAGGGGACGGGACACAGAATTTTTACTGGGGACGACACAAATTGTTACGGGGACCAGAATTGTTATGAGGGACCAGATTGTTATGAGGGACACAAAATTTTTAAAAGGGGACAGACAGAATTTTTTTACTCAGGAAAAACACGAATTGTTTACTGGGGAACCCCGAATTTGTTACGAGGGACAAGAATTGTTATGAGGGCACAAAAATTGTTATCAGGGAACAGAATTGTTCTCAGGGACCAGAATTTGTTACTCAGGACGACAGAGAATTGTTACTGGGGGACACAGAATTTTTTACGAGGGACCAAAATTGTTACGGGGGGGAAAAAGAATTTTACCAGGGACAGACACGTTTTGTTACGAGGGACCAAAATTTTATGGGGGACACAAAAACGTTACTCAGGGTCAAAAATTGTTACTCGGGACACAAAATTTTTACTCAGGGACCAGAATTGTTACTGAGGGAACAGAATTGTTATAGGGACAGACACAAATTGTTACTCAGGGAAAACAGAATTGTTACTGAGGGACACAAAATTTGTTATGGGGGACACGAATTGTTATCGGGGCGCAAAATTTTGAAACCGGGGGACACAAATTGTTCTCAGGGACCAGAATTTTTTTACTCAGGGGACACAGAATTGTTATGGGGGACACAGAATTGTTACCGGGGCAGAACAAATTTTTACCAGGGACAAAACCAGAATTGTTTTCAGGGACAGACACAGAATGTTACTGGGGACAGCACAAAAATTTGTTATGAGGACACAGAATTGTTACTGAGGGACACAGAAAT